ACTATAACTTTTTTTATAAAACAAAAAACCGATCTCAAAGCTTTGCTTATCCGCTTTATGTGTGTTTTTTATCTATTTGCCAAGTTTTATTGAAATCTGTTAACGGAAAGTAGGTGACGTTCAATAAACCGGATTCATGCCCTAATTTGTCGCCATTAGAGGTGGTATATTTTCTTGAAATTCGAATGGAACCACTACTAGGATACCCTCTGTCCAAGAAAAAAATTATCAAAATCTCGGAATAATCGCGTAAAGTACCAACAAATACAGTCGAATTGAGAACCGCCTCCTTTTGTCCTTTTTATGAAGTTGGTTAAAAACACATCTCAGATATGACTTTAAAATTGAAATTACAATACACATTTTATTTATATCTACTTGACCTCAAATAAGGAAATTCTCAATCACATGACAGACCGATATCGGACACGGCCTTTCCTTCAACTCCGAAGTTGGCAACGTACGTTAGCTAGCATGTGGTTTACATAGCCAATGTTCTGTGTGAAGAATTTCGCGCACCCAGAAAGGTGTGAGATTATAATTGATCACCGCCTATGATCGAGTATTCAATTCCAGCTTCAAGTGCCATTCATGTTCAAAATCATAGACTTTACTTTTGAGTACCAGAGCAACGAAATAACCGCCAGGGACAGAACCCGGAAAACTCAAACTAAAACTAATTTAAAAAGTTCGTTTACTAGTTTAACCCTACCGGGAATCAAAGCCCGGTAGCTTAAGATCTAATGTCATAATAACAAATCTCACATTGTTGTGTGATAGGGGCAATAAATATGGCATTAATGTGAAGGAAGTTTTTTTTATAATTTTCGATTATTCGAGTCATTACAAGTTTATGTAGTAGTAGAGCCCCTTGTTAAATAGTTCGCCCAGTGACCTTACCTATTTCTGCCGCCAAGCAGTAAAATGAACATTATTGCTTTCCAGTTTTCAAAGGTGCTATTGAAATTACAGGCGGATGGGTCTTGTCAACTTATGTCTTAGGGTGACGGGCACACTGGCAGTATCCCTCAGAACTGTTATGGACAGGCGTATTGCCACCACCAGGCGCACGACTTGTTCATCCGAAAAAAAACAGGTTGCTTAATTTTCACGATGGTTTTTCAGTTCAATCTGTCATATTCACCAATTCATGGTCCTTAGCCGCTCAATGGCGGCCTACCGCAAAATGGCGGCTATTTGGTTTCACAAATTAGAAAAGCATTCACTTTAAATACAAGTTTTTATAAATAAATACCCTCCGTACTACAACAAAAACATCTCAAATAAATAGCAGTAATACACCGCAAATCCTGCACTTAAAAAGCACTAATGAAATTTTTGGTGTACTTGGGTAAATACGATAATATTCCGTTTGAGTGGTTCTAACGTATACCCTGAAATTACTCCTTAAAGTATAGTTTATAAACATTTATATTCAGGGTAAACTTAAAAAACGCTACTTACGGTATGTTTTCAATAAATAAACACCGAAATCACCAGCCCAAACAATAACACACACGATTGTCGTGACGTATTTTTGAAGTTGTTTATTTTTTTTAAATGACAGACCCAGGCATTAAAAACTTTATGATTTGCTAGAGTAGTTACCGAAATAGCAATTAATAGTAGTTCTTTTACCTGTTATAACTTCGATATCCGATAAATCGGTATAAAATCATCACCGGCACCTCTAGGTGTGGTATGCGTCTACGGCTGCATGTATCGCGTGAGCGTATAAATAAAAAATTGATAGTGGTGTTGACATGTTTATTTCTTTTCATATTTGAAATAGCACTATTTGCACGAATGTAGCGTCAATCATATGGTTACAATCAAATTCTGTACAAAGGTTTTCCATTACCCCGAGCAATATTCATCACCGTCATGGTACCAAGTCAAGTAATTCTAAGAAGTGAAGTGAAATTATATTCCATCTATGTTAAGATAATCTTTTTTATATTATGTTAATGCATAATAAGGCCACCATGTGGTGGTATTTTATAAAGTAAATAATCTATTAGGCCTTAGCTGAACACCAATGATAAGGGACTGTGAGCTTAGTAGTAGATTAGTAGCTTGACAACAATCAGTGTTAGCACCGATTGTAGGGTATACAGGGTTTTTTATAAAATATTATCAACCTTGCAGACTATACTCTTATAACTAACATCGTAAACAAAAAAATTTGTTCCATGACTTTTAACAATCCTTAAGATTTTACTTTCGTACCAAAATACAAATATTTTAATAGATCCGTCTAAACCACGTAAGAAGAAAAATTGGAAGTGCCTTAAGCTTCGATTATCAGCACCGATGTCGCCAAAACTCACACATTCATAATTTGAAGCACTACTTTCGTTCTGTGGTCTAATCGGTTATAGCTCTGTGCGGTAGCAAAAACACCTGGCCAGCATCTACCATCAAAGTTGTATTGTGAATATTTTATAAATGTTTGTTTTATGACAGACAGAATGGGAGACGAGTTGCTAAACAACTAACTACCAAATACAGACATAAAAAGTGTCAGATAGTACAACAAAAACTTAAAAGTTTTGTATGGGCCACCTTACTCCATACGTGGACTGTTGTTGCTGACGCAGAGAATGACTTGCAAATAAAAAAGTAAAATTATATTGATATTAAATACAGGTGTTATGGTGGCAAATCTTTCCTTGATATAGTGTATCAGTGGTAACCATTGGTAACGTACTACGTAAAATAAAGTGTGAATTGCGTGTTTAAATTAAACTACGGCACGTGACTAAAGTAGATCACCGCGTACGCAGAGTTATATCGTTATTAGTTACATACATATTTATTTTTGGTAAATTTATTTTGTTATATAATAAGTCATGGAACAAAAATTGCTGTTTATTATTATAGTTCGGCGAGGATGTTAGTTTTTTACAAAATTTCCTATATATCTTAATTTAAAAGTCCAAACAGTCTTTCCACTACAGCGAGTCATCATGTCAACTCGGAATTGCATTAAACCGGTCAGAAAAAGCTTTATGTCCGTGTAATAAGATCGAAAGAGCGTGTTTCGCGTCGACGATCTTTATTAAAGTGAAACTCACGACGTCTTTTTAGCTCTTATTGAAAGGATTTAATACTTTGTCTGACCGGTTCAAATCAATTCTGTGCCTTTATAATTATTTATTTATTTAGTTTATAGACAAGGTACATCAATAGTAGTACAAAAAGAACTTATGAAATTACTGGGGAAGGGGAAAAATCTATTCGAACGTTAATTTGGTTGTAAGTAGAGGTTAAATTAGATAGTGAGCTGCACAGAGCTGCGTTAGTCCTGCATCGTGAGACATTAAATATTTAGGTTATTTTATGACGGGGTATTTATAAGTTAATATTTATTTGATTCAGAATATTGCAACATTTTATTGTATTATTTATTTATACCATGTAAAAATCAGTCAGATCGGTCAGAATCGGTCAGATAATATTCGGCGATCTCTAAGACTTATTCATTTTTAAGTAATCTTTGAACGTATACTTTAAGGGTAGTTTTTTTAAAGTTTGAACGACATGGAAAAACGTCACAGCTCTTTCCTATACAGTGACCTCGGTTAGGCAACAGTTAACATTGTGCGCGCTGGATATAAAGGTCCAGGGTTAGATTCCCGGTAGAACCAATTTAGGAAATTGACTTTTCTAAATTGGTTCTGGTCTGGGTGTTCTGGGAATCGCCCCACAGTGACGTTTGTTGCTCTGGTACTCATAATACGGGGCGTTCCCTAGAGACCAGGCAGTTGATGTGTTTGTCTGGCACATATTATTATTATACATCCCTATTATTATTCCTCTATAAAAACAAAAAAAGCTGCGACCAGGTTTTAAAAAGCAATCAGACACAAAAGATAAAACTCTATAGCACCTTTACCCACGGTTTACTGACACATCGATGGTGATTACAGCGATGTGATTGATCAGTTTGAAATTACTACTACATTCCACGTGATATTAAAGCCCTGCAATTGGTCAATTGCATTTAGAACTGCTTTTAAAAACGAATCAATGTTTTTATTTTAAATTGCGAAGGATCCAAAGTCTCGTCAATTATTGCACACCAAAATCGATTTCCTGTGGACAGATACAATCCTTGTACATAGTTGAGTAAGTTTAGTTCTCCACGGTATGACTTTTAACAACAGTAAATACAAATTCTTTGGCATTTTTTTTATTATACCAAGTGACGGGGCGAACAAGTCGTGCGCCTGGTGGTAAGCAAAAAAAGCCCGTCCATAACAAATTCAATACCACTCAGAGCTTTTAAATCGCAACGATTTGAGCGGCACTACCATTGCGCCCGTCACCTTGAGACGTAAGTTGTTAAGGCCCACGTGCCTGTAATTTCATCAGCACCCATATCCTACTAAACCAAATGCAGTAATGCTCACATTACTGCTTGTCGGCAGAAATACTTAAGGTGACAATACTTCCCTCTAACGAACTCTTTCACAAGGAGCCTTGGTTCTTCTAAATCTACGCCTTTGAGTTTTTTTATCGACCAATGTATACTGTTAGAAAATTTTAATTTCAAAAACATTTATTAACGAATAAATGAAATCAATTTAGTAAATATTTATTTATCTTTATCCTACAGTCTAACTAAATAGTGTACGGAAACACTACATTAACAGTGTTGACAAAATTGAGATTAGAACCAATTAGAGAAAGTTTGTTGCGTAAATTGGTCCAGCAGGAAATAAAATCCAAGACCTCGTCGTGCAAAATTTACAGTGTTGGAGATTTGAGGTATTGAGGAAATAATATGTTTTATATAAATTCGCTGCATTCTGTTTGTGTAAATTGTACATATACAATAAATTTTGCATTGGAAAAGTGGTAGTGTTAAAACATTCATTCATGAAATTACTTGTCTCTCTTCACACTCAAGCTCTATCTAAATATATTTGCTTTAACTATACCATGTAATTAAGTACGTAAATAGAAACTAAATTGAAATAGAAATTATTATTTACCTTAGAGCTGAAAATCAGTTGACGGAAACCGAAATTCCATGTTCCACCCACTATTTAATTGTCTGATATTAATTACGTTCCACTAACACTACCGTCACATGGGTTACAAACACGATTTGGGCCTTATTTATAATACACAACATCTAGTTGCGGATCCTTTACACGCCATTCAGTCTACCGCAACACTAAACCGTCCAATCTGTAACATCATGCTCCAAATTAATGTTCAAAAACCATTAACTGTAGTTTTGGATACAATGCCGTCCGAGCATACTTTTGGTTTTCAAGTTTCCACTCACAAAGGGCCTTTATTCACATTCTAACAAAAAATAACAAAACGGTGCGAACGGTCGTCTGTGGTATTGTTCGGAGGTTACACAAGAATCTACGCGACGTAGCCACGTTGTAGCGATGCTACGGCCGGCTCGCCACTGGCGGGGGCTACGAAAGTCCCGGAGCTCACCTACACAGCAACGACGAGCTCTTGTACCTATCCGCACACCCCGTCTCACCCACACACTCGCATTTATTACACGAACCTTGTAGGTGCAAGAGAGAGGGTAACATTTTTGGGGCTGTAAATGATGTACACACTAATGGTGATTTACTCACACACCCTAACCTACGCACAACTTCTCTCTGCCCATACACATAGAAGCGATTTAAACTTGTAATCCCTCACGATGATTTGAATTTAAGGGATTTGGTTTATCCCTAAACAGTATACAAGTGTGAAACTGTACATTTGTAATGAATTTCGTATTAAATGTCCGTTACAAGCTTATCATGTAGTAATACCTACGTGTAAGCATGTAATACTATTCACTGTCAGGTTTAAATTGTGCTTTATCTGTTGTTTTGTGAGCTACGTTGAAAAACATATGTAATTAAAATAGGTAGCCCGGTGCGGTCACGGTTGTTTTTTAATTGAGAGATTATTGGTTCAAGTCTAAAATGCTTAATTTTAACTTTAATATCTTAGCTGTACATTTGTGAGTGTTTCATAAAATTACGTTTCGATAATGGTGAAGAAAGACATCATGCTGAAACTTGCATGTAGGAGAAGGTTCATGCACTTAGGATGAGGACCAAAATGGAGGACTATGCATGCTACTTAGATCTGCTTAGATGAGACTTATGGGACTGCGGTGAAACCTGTAGAACGTGAACATCAAGTAAAATATGTGAGAATATCAACTGATGAAAGCTTATTTAGAACTCCATTTTTCAGTTAATTCAGAATCAGAAATTTTTTAACAGCAAATCTGTTAAAATATTTTGTTAAAATCATTTATTTTTCCAATTAAATTTTTTTGCTATATAACTCCGCATGATGAGATTTATTTGCCAAAAATATGATTTAAAAATGTACTACATTTTGACCACGTAGTATTCCCAATTATTTGCACTATGGATGGGGAGATCCGGGGTTCGATTCCAGGTAGGACAAATTTGGAAAATAAACGTTTTGGTTTTGGTCTGGGTGTCCAGGGTAGAATCCCGGGATTTACTTTGCTCCGGTAGTTGTATTTTATGTGGTAGTTGGATGTGGTTGTCTGGTACATTATTATTATTCATTATGTCGACTAGTCCGAAACACTAGTGTGTGAATTTGCAGGAAATTGGTTATCTACGTTCATAGTGTTAATAATACTTTTCATGCACTTTTCAATGATATAGTATAAAGGGCTTGTAAGAAGTCGTTTCGAAAGAGTTCGTTCAGTGAAGTAGGTACTGCCACCTTACCTATTTTAGCCGCCAAGCAGTAATGTGAGCATTATTATTACTGAGTTTCGAGTAAGGGTGCTGGTGAAATTACGGGCACATGGGAATTGTCAACTTATGTCTCAGGGTGACGGGCACAGTGGCGGTGCCTCTAAGATATTTGCTATTAAAAGCTCTGAGTGACACTGCAACTGTTATGGATATACGTGTCTCTTACCATCAGGCGCAAGTCTTGTTCGGCCCGTCGCTTAGTATTATAAAAAAATGACACTCATAAATCTGCTTATTGAATTCCATCATAGAAAGGAATACAACGGGTCATATAACTCATTTTAAGAAAATTCGCACTTGCTGGGTTTTGACTTCGACCTCCGACCCCGCGACATATACTTAAAAATGCAAATCTATTGTTCCTTGTATTTTAGAAATCAAATAATTCCAAAACAAATAGAAAATGAAACAACTTTTCGAATCTAAATCGCATATATTTATTAACACAACAAGCTGACCGAGCCGGTATAGTCATCAATCAGATTTGTCTAAAACAAACAACCTTAATTTTCACTATAGTCATAATACAAAATTTAATAATTTAAATACCTAGTTTGTAATTTACTAAGGAATAATCCAATTCCAAATAATTACACAATCTCAGTCAGCCGAGACCATGGTATCTGTACCTTTTTTTTGTTTGAAATTTTTCATTTTTCATTTTTTTTAAACATTTGTTTGAAAAAAATATAGATATGAAAAACCGTTTCATTTCTTATCTGCAACTGCATTTGCGCACTGCATCCCAATCGTATTCATTCCGAATCCGAGACTTTTTTCAAAATATCAAGTGACGGTACAAACAAGTCGTGTGCCTAATGATAAGATACACGCCTGTTCATAACAGTTGCAGTGCCACTCAGAGCTTTAAATCGCAAAGATCTGAGGGGTACTTCCACTGCCCACCCTGAGACATAAGTTGACAAGTCTCATCTGCCTGTAATTTCACCAGCACACTTACCCCTCAAAACTGGAACACAATAATGCTGACTTTACTGTTTGGCGGCAGAAATAGGTAAGGTGGCAGTACTTCCCTGGACGAACTCTTTCACAAGGAGCTCTACTGCTACTAAGACTATACAACTATAGAGACTATCAATCAGACTATAATCTAGAAATGTCGGACCTACTTCAGATGTCGCTTGCGCACTAAGTCCAATCGAATCCGAGAAAATATGAATATCGCTTGTACACTTAGAGATAAAATAATACGAATCGGACATAGCGCGCAAACGCGCGTATACATAGGAAATGAAACAATCTTTCACATTTAAATCGCCTATATTTGCTTTTTTTTTCAAACAAATCGTTCGCGAAAACTTAAGAGTTCGATAATTCCAATACAATTCTAACAAAATTTTGAGAATTATAAATTGTATTATTATTATAATAGTAAGTTATTGCCAAGTCACAAAGAGGTGAACATTAATCTCCTCCTATTTACAGACATTGAGAACTTCCAAATACATAAAGAAAGTTATGTTGTTTTGTTCCCAGTTTAATTAAAGCAAATCAATAGAGTTACAGCTTACCAAAGAGGACAGTTTAATTAACTTTCAGCTTACGAACGACTGAGGATGTATGGGCTTGTCTCTTTACCTGTCTTGCTACTTTGTTAAAGGGTGCAAGTCTTCGATGTAGGTTAGTTTAAAGTAAAGTATTTAGCGATTATTATACAGGGTTAATTGTGATATACTTACAACCTCTCAGGACTGTATTACTAACATTATAAACAACAACTTTTGTTACATAATATTTAATGATGCAGCAAATTTTACTTTCGTACAAAACTAAAAATATTTAAAGTGACCGCCCTAAGAGTGGTTACACACGGCGTCATTGCATCGCTATACCAGCGATTCATAGGCAATTTAGGATACACACGCGAGATTATATCAATACGAACGCGCGAATGCATGAATTCTATCCCCTATAAAACCCAAGTGTAGCGATGCAATCGCGCGTTTGCATCGATGCAGTCTCACGCTTACATCGCGTTTGTATCGCTGCTTAAAGGTAGACGATTAGCGACTGCATAGCGTTTGCATCGCTGCTACAAAAGTCGCCGTATGTAACCGCTCTAAATGGTGATAACTTTGTGCGGTAGCAAAAAAAAAGAATGCGGGAGGCATTACTAAAGAACTTCTACCAAATACAGATGTAAAAAGGTTAGCTATCACAAGCTAGAAACATAATTTACAGAATTTTGTTTCTCCGAAAACCTTTAGACTTTTATTGAATGGATTTTGTTTCATTTGTCCGAAAACACGTTACGGTTTTTTTCATTACACCATTTAAAGTTTCACTATTTTGACATATAGACAAGTTATTAGTTTCCAAATTTTTATTTCCCCAACAAACCGTTTGACCAATGTATCTAATTAAATATTTTTATTTTGTAAAAAAACGATATCCATAATAAATGTTTGTTATATTATTTCTTATTATAGATATTAAATGTATTAGAACGTGTCGCACAATACAATTCGTCAATTTAATACACCTCGCATCTTTAGAAAATGTGGTAAACGAGGTGCAAGTTAATTTGATCGAGTTGTAGACGCTCGCTTCGCTCATTCGGAACGTACCGCGTTTTCATATACTAACCTAACCTAAACCCACAGGAGGGGATCGACCTAGCTAGGAAACGCAACCAAATTGCGTTCTGGTACTCGCCTCGATTCAGTTGTACGTTATTTATTGAACACTCAAGACTATTGTTTTTAAATTACATTTCAGATAACAGCAAAAACAAAGCACAATAATATGATGAAAATTGCGTAAGTGGACTTGCAGTGCACCAGCAGAGTAGAGTCCAGAATTTTGGAGCTGTACGGTAAAATTGTATGGCGGTACAATTTTATCTAAGAATAATAATTTTGTCCAAACAAATTTTCAGCAATCTAAATTATATGGAAAACAGACAGTATAACAAACATGATTAGACTAAACAAACTTCTGCCCAAAAAATACGTATGTGTAATAATTATTGTAATAACAGGTTTTCGGACAAACGATACTTCTGCTATAAGACATTTCTGTTGCAAATTTATACCAAAACTGTCATCGCACCAATGAAAAAAAAATGTAATCGTTTTCGGAGCAATGAAATTCGGAAAAAAGAAATTCGAGTTTTTGATAGGCTCAAAAGTGTCAGATAGTACAACAAAACTTGTAAAAAGTCATGGAACAGAAGTTGTTGTTTACGGTGTTAGTAATATAGTCCTGCGAGATTACAAATATTTTACAAATAACCCTGTATATAAAAAAACAATGATTCTTTTTTTCTAAATAAATCAGAATAATCTTGTTTCTAACTCATTTGAAACTTATTCTTCTAATCAACTCACACAAACAAATACACATACGTACACAAAGACCCATGCGTTCATACACACATACGCATACAACAAATTTATTTTTTTAATACTAGTAATAACAAATTACCATTTTTGAGTATTATTAAGGTAAGACTTTGATCGTTTGATTTTTGTTACCCATAGTAAAAGCGAATCAACTGTTCACCTTGTGTACTAAGATTTATTTGAATCGAAACATTTCTATACCTCCAATGAACACTACATAACTTATTTTTTCTGATCTGTTCTGTTTTTACTCTGGTTTGTTTTTTATTTATTTTTTTCAC